CATACGTGTAGACTACAACAAAGATAATTTGAAATGTTAAAAACAATTTATTCCTGATTACACTCTGATTAGATTTTCCCCCTCCTTTTCTGTACGACACTGTAACGACACTGTCCATTCTAGTCATCAGAAATTAACGATCAATCCGCCGTTAGTAGTAATAACGTAAACTATTAACAATAATTAATGGCAGGTTATAAAAGGAGAAAAACATCGTTAAAGGGAGATAACTGTAGGTTTGTGTCTTGGATGCAGACCACAATTAATTTCCCCATTGACTGGTCTCTTTGCCCGGCTTCGACTATTTCCCAAATTTTCGTTGGATTGAATGCTTTTTACTACATACAGAGCAAAAGATGTCTTTGCCCTATAAACTTGAAGTAGACATAAAACACGCAATAAACCCACGTATATACCACCGTAACCAATATCTTAACCCCGTTAGCCCTCCGCCTGGCAGACAATTTTAATTCAAGAAAAATGACCATTCGAGAGAGAGAGAGAGAGAGAGAGAGAGAGAGAGGGGGGATGAACAAATGGTGAGATTTAATGGGGGTCTGCTCCATTAATTCTAATTACAAGATTGGGTAATACGATGGTTTCTCCTGTAATAACATCTTTTATTGGCGATTTGTTTCCAGCATGATTTATGGACTGCTGGCCTGATTCAACAAAATCGGATAAAAATTGTGACCTCTATAGGGTCCACAAGCTTGATATACCATATTTTTACGCTATTTGAGAACAAACGGCGGCCATTTTGTCTGTCAATTTTGGGGCGGTTTTCACAAAATTCAAACTCAACTGTCCTTAGGGTGGAACGGTAATATAATAATACGTTTTTTTTAAATCGGATAAAAAATTATGACCTCTATAGGGTCCACAACCTTGATATACCATATTTTTACGCTATTTGAGAATGAACGGCGGCCATTTTGTTTGTCAATTTTGGGCCGATTTTCATGAAATTCAAACTCAGTCGTCCTTAGGGTGTAACGGTGATATAATAATACGTTTTTTTTTAAATCGGATAAAAATTATGACCTCTATAGGGTCCACAAGCTAAAAACGCGATTTTTCGTACAATCAGGGGCCATAATTCAGGAAATTACGGTCCGATATGCGCGAATATCGAAAGGAACCGAGATCTTTGGGTTATAGACTTACATTTCAAGTTTCAACAAAATCGGATAAAAATTGTGACCTCTATAGGGTCCACAACCTTGATATACCATTTTCTTACGCTATTTGAGAACGAACGGCGTCCATTTTGTCTGTCAATTTTGGCCCGATTTTCACGAAATTCGAATTCAGTCGTCCCTAGGGAGTAACGGTGATATAATAATACGTTTTTTTAAATCGGGTAAAAATTATGACTTCTATAGGGTCCACAAGCTAAAAACGTGATATTTCGTACAATCAGGGGTCATAATTCAGGAAGTTACTGTCCGATATGCGCAAATATCGAAAAGAACTGAGATCTTTGGGTTATAAACTTACATTTCAAGTTTCAACAAAATCGGATAAAAATTGTGACCTCAATAGGGTCCACAAGCTAAAAACGTGATTTTTCGTACAAACAGGGGCCATAATGCATGAAGTTTCGATCCGATACATGCCAATATCGAAAGCAGCCGAGATCTTTTGGGGATAAACCTATATTTCAAGTTTCGTCGAAATCGGATAAGAATTGTGACCTGTAGAGAGTCCACAAACAATTGTGGACGGACGGACGGACGGACAGACGGACAGGGGCGACGGCATAATACGTCCACATGAAAATGTGGGCGTATAAAAATGGTGGAGAAGGACAAGATACGATTTAAGGGAGACAACTCCTGTTAACGGATCGCTTACATCACTACAAACATACAGTATACTAACTGGCGTAACTTTTTTTTTTTTCTTTTTTTTTGGAAAGGAAATAACATGGAAATACAAAGATTAAGTCTAAACTGAATGTCCTATAAAATTGAGATTAAGTTGTAGTTTTAATATGATCCGGTGAACACAATGTGACGACTGAGAATTTTACGTCACAGAGTCATGTAAATATGTGGGTTACTTGTGTACACGTGTAGGTCGGGTGTCTGTGGGCGTATTGACTGTCGGCTGGGCAGATGATGATGATGACACTAATGTGGATAAGGTCGAATCAGACTTCAATGGGGAAGCCGGGGTGATTAACACAGCTGGTATCAATGGTAGAGCAGGTGGTTCCTCGGGCTCTGTGAGCATATTCGTATCGCATTCTATCTGAGTAGGAACTTTATCCAATTCATCAAAGTCATTTCTGTTTCCATTGTGACGTAAGGGAAAACAGTTGTTTTCAACAAAGTATTTGGGTACGATATAACATTCTGATGTCTTCACCTTGGAAGTTTAGGAATGTAACTGGGATCCTGAGAATTTCCTGACGAAGCACCAATTACCATCAAGGCTAGTTACAAGATATCGATCAGGAGCCTTGTTTTTATTACCATCTGAGCGCAGGTAAACCAAATCTCCAACTGCGACATGATTACTTGGAGGTATGTTTCCAAGACGGTTCTTTGAAGTCTCATTATATCCATGATTACGTAATCGCCGTGCATGTTGTTCGGCTATAAGTTCACGATCTGAGACAGGAAGCTGTGTGTGTGTAAACTGGCACCTTTGTGTAAAGATTTCACGAGCAGATAAACCTCTACTTCTAATCCTAGAATTAGTCATAAGATCCTCTGGTGAATTACCTCCAATGTACAGATCATCAGCAAGCTTAGCAACTGTGCCAGCCTGTAGTTGGTCACCCAAAACACGGCACATCAGTTCTTCAAGGGCTGTTACCAAACCGGGCATACCCATAGCAGAGTGTGTGTAAACACGTACCCCGCGAAAGGGCGTTGCTACACCCCAATATTTTATGGAATCTCTGGACAAAGGAATCGGGTAGAAGGCACTTGTCAGATCCGAAACAATAATGTACTGCCAACAAGCAATGGTACGTGAGATGCAATCAACATCAGGCAAAAGTGAAGGCTGTGGTATACTATATCTTCCAACACCAGCGAAGGCAGTGACTAAGCGGAAACCTCCAGATGGCTTCTTAACGAGGAAGGAGGGATTAAGGTACTCAGCAGTGATGTTGATATCTTCTGGACGTTTAAATACGCCTGCTGTTTCTAAATCATCAAAACCTGTTTGAAGTTCAACAAGTTTGTCCCTTGAGTACTGGGGTACACGACCTTTGCGTTGGGGAGGCTGAACTGGACACATGTTGACAGTGGCTTTAAAGGGACCAACTGCAGATATATCAGGATCAAATACAGTATCGTACTGACAGTGTAAGTTTTTGAAAGCTTCTCTAGTTGTTGACGATAATATAAGATCGGGATCGAGAGCTACTTTATCAGAATAAAATAAGCCTGGACCAAGCTTAGAGGGAACAGCACTTGGTGTTGGAGTATCACAGTGATTAGCATTTGTTGGGAAATCAGTGACCAGTCGAACCTGACAGAAGTGTTCATTACGCTGGATGGTTCTGGGTTGATCTGTGGTATTAGGTATTCTCACCTTACCAGCAAAACACTCTAAGATGGAGGGCTGTGGCCACATCTGGGAGAGTTTCAAACTATGTGAGCTTGGGCAATCGGAACGAGCTTCAACAGCCAAGAGACAGTCGGGGTGATAGTCGGGTGGAGCAGAAACTTCCAGGTAATCACCAGGCCAAATAATTGTCGCTGAAGCTGGAAAGCGAATAACAGAAGCCTGTGTACGCCGGATGGAATGGTACTGAGATGGTGCCTTTGATGACCCATATACAATAGTATCTGAGTCTTTGATTGTAACCTGATGCTTGGCTGGGCGAACAAATACATCGTTTACAGTCATGAATGGTGTACCCGCTAAGATTTCAACGTCCAAGTCTTCCACAACAAGAGCATCTAGGGATAAGTCCACAGCATTCCTTGAAAGAGTGAGGTGTGTTTCCCCAATCACAGCTAACGGTGTGAAACCATCGGCCTGAAGAGCACGTTGAGAACTGGGCGATATAGTAGCGCCGATGTACTTTGCAACAGCGGCCTTGATCATATTAGTTTCGGCACCTGTATCTAAAGTAAGCTGCACAGGATGATGTTTATAAAACGCTTTAAAATGAGGGGACTGTTTGGTACTAACACGACAAGCGGAAACACGATGTGTAGGTAACCCATCGGTTAAGTCGAGATCACCATCATCCAGGCAAGTAGTTTGACGGGCACGATTGAGAAATTTTTTGTCATCTGCAGGTAAGAAAGGGCAGGTACTAAGGTAATGCTGGGTCTTTGTGCGGTTGGCCTGTGTGCAGAGAGGGCACGATCTAGGCTTAAATCTGTCACTCTTCGCAGGATCTGGGGTATAGCGCTGTCGAAGTAATTGGCTAGTAGCTGATCGTAGCACTTTAGCATCGACCGAGGCGTGTACTTCATCTAACAGCGAGTCAAGAGCTAGAGAGATCTCAGGTTTAAGAGATGCTAGTGTGCGAGAGCGCAATTCGGTACCATATCGTTGCTTCACCAACTGTGGTAAGTCTGGATGTATACATTGAAGCCAAGTTAGTACAACTATGTTCTCTAAAGATGGTGTTAATTCTTCGTCGACTGCGGGATCTTCACCATGGTGAGAAATGTGGCCATTACGTGTAAGTAGATTGTCTTCAATAAAGGACATTAATCGTTGGAAAAGGTCCTCAGGTCGCTCATCTGGTTGGAGATGAATAAAGTTAAAGTCCAGGAAATGACTGCCTGTGGATTGGAAGCCATAATGTAGGCGAATAGCTTGCCAAATAGCTGATACGGAAGTTGAGTTTTTAACAATTGTATTACGGGAAATAATGGGACAAAAATTGGCTATTTGTCCGAGCATCAACTCGAGGTGGGTCACTTTCTGTTGTGCAGTACGTCGGTTATTCTCTGGAACATTACGGCCATCATCACGGAAGCCCCGCAAAGGAGTATTATTAGACGCCTTACCCCATGTGACACCATCGATGAGATATGCAGCAAAATTTGGATCTAGAGATAATGTGTACTGTAAGTTTTGTCGCCATGCTTCATATGACGTGATTGTTTCGTGTTTGGTTAGTGTCCACTGTTTCGGAGCACGACTATTAGCCATCTTGTTGTATGATTGTGAAACGCTGGGTGTATTCACAGCTAGAGGAGAAACCGGGTCGCTTATGTCAAAAATGACGATGTGTAGGACTGTTCAGACTTGGATTGTTTTTGTTGTTTCATTAACAAAGAGAACTTCTGGGAGCTCGTAGGTACGGCAAAATCACTCCAGCCACAACTCCTGTTAACGGATCGCTTACATCACTAGTCAATATTACAATATTCAAGGTAATCGTAATCCATTCATACTTGACAGAGCGAGTAAGACGCTAGCCTCGTGAACAGCCTGTAACTGGATATGGGTTATCACAAACAGAAATGAAATGAAATGAGGTTTAACGTGTGGTATTATCCTAAACAAATTCTACAAGGAAATAAAAACAGAAATCGAATCACAAAGGTAACCATAAACCTCTTTCAATGATATTTTTATAAAATGTATCAATATATTTCTTTTCGGAATACATACATACTTGCTATGTTGTGTGGAGTAAGAATATTTGCATATTCTATTTTCCCTCTTTTTCGCCAATATCTTATTGTATCCTCAGTCTCATTGGAGAATCTATCAATTCCCCTCCATCTAAACCATGCCTACTTCAGTCCGCCAATCTGTTCAAATTACATGTATTTCATCACTGACATACATGGATTATTCTACGGAGTTCCTGAAAATCTATTTTAATTTCAAATCTCTCCAACTATAGATGTATTTTTCAACAATAAATTATATAAATTAATCTACAGTATTTCCGTTAACCCAGGTTAAGTTTAAATCTCTCCAACTAGCTGTATTTCAACACTAAATGATATGCATTATTCTATTTCCGAAAACCTGGTTTAAAGAGCTATATCGCTAATATTTGGGACCTAGAAATTGATCCTAATGGGTCGCGACGCATATAATAATGTAATCTGATTGTATATAAATTGATTTACATTCAATTGTTTCCGTTTGGACTCAGTTATGTCCAGCGAAATACGGCATGCGTCTCAACTGAATAGCAATTTCTAGCGTCTGGTTATTCTAGTCTATTGCGCATGCTCTCCAGATAAGATGTGGTGTCATCGTTTGACATGAGTTGTGGAATATGTCTAGCCTCGTTCTTTCTGGTCACTTGTTACAAATGACGCTGAAACACACTATGATACACGATTCGTGTAACAATGGTACAATAGTTATTTTGTCTTAAATATTGGACATCAGAAGCCTACTTTTTCCTGGTAAGATCACAACATCAATGTTGGTTCGAATTGACAAACAATTCGTATTTTCAACGTGAAAAACTTTGGATGATATTGAGACTTAGCTACTTTAAGTTCAAATCTCTCCAACTAAATACATGTAATATGGATTGTTCTACAGTATTGTCGAGACCCAGGTTAAAGAGCGTATGGATTCATTGTTTGGAACCTTGAAATAGACAAAAAACTAAAAGCATATAATAATGTAATATGAATGTATGTAAAGTGATTTATATTAAAGTTTTGAAAAAAAATGAAAAAAAAAAAAATATTGTAATTTTTAATCAGTTATGTTTGGTGAAATATGTGAAAAGTTCAAATTGAAAAACAGTCGTTTACGCCTGCTTAGTGCATTCAACATGTTTTTTAGATTATTATTTTGTCGTGTGTGCATTAGCCTTTACTAATTACTTCCACACTGTGTTGTAGGATATGTTTTATTTGTTCATTACAAATAATTTTGGTACATTTTTAAATACAAATAATTTTATGATATTCTGTGCATAATTCTTCTACTCATATGCCTAGCTATTTTTTTCGTTAAAGATATTTATTAAAAGATTCTATAAAAACACTCAAATCTAGAACTTTCTAAGAACACGCAAGATTTTACTTGTTTCTAATTGTTTTGTTGACAATTGGTAATTTTTAAAAAAAAATTTAATTCGTGATATTTAATTTTTTTATATATATTTTTATTTCGTATTTTTACCATAATGTAAAAACACCATTGAGCAACAAACTGTTGGAGTACAGGCGCTCTATAAATACAAAATGCAATGGGGTTTAACGTCCTACTGTTCTGCTCGGACTGGTCTAATGAAGACGGTTGAAGTACAACAAAAACAACCAACTACAACAAACTGACACATAAATATATCCTCGAATATTATACATATTGATTCACATGATGTAATAGTCTCGGTGACCCAGATTATCTTAGTCTACAACGTACGGAGGGTCTGGGCATAGAACTGTTCTAGAAAGGAAGTCCGACTGGTCGTTTATGTTATACACCGCATGCGCGAAAGATGTACCACAACTTACTTCCGGTTAAATAAAACGCTGAAGAAATGAGTATGGAGTCCTGTGTGTGAGAGAGAAATGGGGTTTAACGTCCACTCGACACAAACTAGGTCATTTCGGGACTAACAAATGGTTTAATTTTATTTCAATAATTCGCTTGCGCGTAGGGGGTTTAGCAGTGGGAGGAAACTGGAGGACCCGGAGAAAACCCACGAGGTTGGACAGGCAATCCTACTCCTTGTCACGTACAACCGGGGATTCGAAACCACGCCAGTTAACTCAATGAAAGGCCTTATGATACAGCGCGCACGTGCTAACCATTGCCCCCCCCCCCGGAGTCCTGTGAGCTTCGGAATAAAATAAGAACAAAACTTCGTCTGCACAACTAACAACTACCAAGATATATCCGAAATGAATGTTTAAACACGTGTAAGTTATTTTGTATAAATATGATTAGTTTAATGTTTCATTCGTACACAGGCCTAACAACAATAACACAAGTAAGTTATTGATTAATCATTTTCAGTGAGAATGCGTCATGGAACATTTATTATAAAACCTAATTTGTTTTTATTTGATATAGTAATATTTCGTCGAACCTAATAAAAACTATGCAGCTAGTCTAGAATCAACAATTTTCTAATTATACAGGCCTATATAGGCCTAGTCATGTTTTATCTTTAGGCCTACGTTTTTTTGGTTTTTTTTGGTGTATAATATTCATTACTTCAAGGTTTCTTCATAGCCCTCCAAAAGTATGGTAATAGCTAAAATTTCTTTTTTAGATTGTAAGGAAAACTGTTTTGTTTGTAACATTATTGTACGTGTATAAATAAATAAAAAAAAATCTGTTTTTATTAACTTCATTAAATATGTAGGGAAATTCAGTTAAGATTCTAAGGAAATTCTCTATAAAATTCAGACCGTTAGGTATTTTAAAAAGATATGTATGCACACTGAAATTTCAATGTAAATATCTGAATGGGTGTCTGTTTCTAAGCCCTCTTATAATATTGAAAACATTATTATATACATTTAAATCCAGTTGTATTGGTGTGTTTTCATGTGGTAAATATTCGAAAGTAGGCTCAATAGCTAAAATGTGTATAATGCTTCGTTATACTTTCAAGGGAGATACAGTGTGTTTAGACTTTTTGTGCAAGTTATATATTGGTCGTATTGACATTATAAAATTTGCATGAATGTAAGTCTAAATATCAGATAGTGACGCTGTTTTATTTTCCTTCATTTATATAATCAGCATTACATAATCTAAAGATACATAATTATTGGATCTGAAAACTGTTAGGATTATGTTGAATATATTAATACCCATTTAAAATCCTTTAAACCCTGTACTTTCTTTCGTTTGCTGGAGCCACGGTGGCTAGGTGGGTAAGGCGCTGGCCCGCTAGCCTGGAGGTCGGGTGTTCGATCCCTGCATTGGCCGAGAAAGTTCATCCCGATTTTCCGACGTGGTTTCCCCTTGTCAGTGATGCAGGACGGAGGGCCTGACAAGGACAGCTGTCTAGTCCTTCGGATGAGACGAAAAACCGAGGTCCCGTGTAAACATTAGAATGCACGTAAAAGATCCCTTGGTAGTTGGAATTCGATATAAGAGTAGGCGATAGTGCCGCTGCCCGGGCAAAATTTCCCTCCTAGCACACTGTTGGCGTATGCCCGTCTTCATTAGCCCAGTATAGGAGCAGAACAGTAGGACGTTAAACCCCATTTCATTTCATTTCATTTCCTCTGAATATAAGATGAGCTCTTCCCTGCTACAACCCTCCATGAATAACAGAGTGTAAAAAAAAAGACTTTATTGCAGGTCAAAAAACTTTATTGTCAATAATTTGTCTGGGCAAAATTTACTTCATAGCGCACTGTATGACAAACACCTGTCATCATTTGCCAAACCGTGCAGAAAAATAGAAGATAAACCACATCTGTTAAAATATGTAGCCTCCATCGTGTTCGAAGAAGGGTGGAACTCTGGAACATCACATTTGATATAAATCTGTTAAAAACTTTTGCTTTTCGGAGGTTTTCTGGGGATAACTCCGGTACGGAGTTTTGTGGAGCACTGATTATCGATGGAGTTCGTCCTCCGATGAACGAATAGGGGTAATAATTCAGGAATTTCAGGTAAGACATGTGTCCGAGTTATTTGGGAAATAGACATATATTGTAAGCTTCATCTTGATTGGATAACCAGCGGCTGCCAGACAGGGTACACCCACATTTTGCAACAAGCTAAAACATGTGTCCGAGTTATTTGGGAAATAGACATATATTGTAAGCTTCATCTCGATTGGATAACCAGCGGCTGCCAGACAGGGTACACTCACATTTTGCAACAAGCTAAAAACAAAAACGATTTTTTGTACAACCAGAGGCCATAATCCAGAAAGTTATGGTCTGAAATGCGCAAATATCAAAAGAGACAGATTTTTGGAATATAAAGAAATGTTTTAAGTTTCATCAAAATCAGATAAAAATTGTGACCTCTAGAGGGTCCATGACCTTTTTATTACATACATATATACAATTTGCGTACAAAGAGCGGCCATTTTGTCGGGCGGTTTCATTTTGATTATCCGGAAATCCGAATTCAACCTTCATTATGGTGGATTGGTGATATATCTAAACGGTTTTTAAAATCGGAAAAAAATTGTGACCTCTAGAGAATCCACAAGCTTCGACCAATGAGGGGCCATTATCCAGAAAAGTACGTTCGGATATGTGTGATGATAAAAACGAACCAAGATCTTTATGATAAAAACATATTTTTAAAGTTTCATCCAATTCGGATAGAAACTGTGGCATCTAGAGAGTCAACAACCTTGATATTTTTTAAACAGGATAAAAATTGTGACCTCTAGAGGGACCACCAGCTAAAAAGGCGATTTTTCGTACAATCAGGGGTCATAATTCAGGAAGTTACGAATATCGAAAGGAACCAAGATCTTTGGGTTATAAACATGCATTTCAAGTTCCATCAAAATCGAATCAAAATTGTGACCTCTAGAGTTTCCACAAGCTAAAAACGTGATTTTTTCACAATCAGGGGCCATAATCCATGGAGTTATGGCGCGATACATGCCAATATCGAAAGGAACCGGGATCTTT